AGTGCAACTTCAGGAAAGGGAGGGGTCGGGACGGTGGATGGAAGCCCCTGGTGTGCCAAGGTAACATGCCTGCTTCTGTTGGGCTCCAGGTCGAGCATCTGACAGAGTTCCACTGTCTCTCAAGGCCAAGGCCAATCTCTAGAAGGAGCATGTATCCTTTCTCATCAGGATTTATCGACAAATTATGTATGAAGGCAAGCCCTATCAATATATCTGCTAAGGCGAGCCAGGGACGAACAGGGATGTCAGGGGCTTTCAGTCCTGGCCCCGCTGGCTCATGGTTAGGGGAAGAGCAATCCAGGACACACAATGTACAACATGTAACGTCACTCTTTATTATGAAAATAAATGGTGATCATGAGTGGGGTGAATACACAGAAAAACTGGCTCTTTGAGTGGTTATGTCACCCGGATTGCAAGTTAACTTTGGCTTTCTGGTCAGCCAGGCCTCCAACCCCAATCCTGGGCATGGCCTTCAGCTGGTGAAAAGAGGAAACAAAGCAGATGTCAATGAAGACAAAGAAGACATCGAAGGGCTACTTTTAGCGGATTTGCTTGAGGATTTCTACTGGGATCTTGCTCTTGGTCTAGAGGAAGTAAAGAAAAGGAGTTGGGTTGTCCAAAGAGCCAGATGCTCTGCGTTCCATACCCAGACCACCTGGGTTACAATTTTCTGGACTTTCTGGAAACATCTGATTCCCGGATCTCACCTGGAGCATAGTGAAAACCTGGTCAGCTTTGATGTAGTTTTACTCACTGTCCTGAAGGCACCTAAGGGAGAAGAACAGGTGATCTCTGACACGCTGACTATGCAATGCCATACCTTAATCTATGCTACTTTTTGCTGGGACACGTGTACTGATATGAGCACCATTGTAGGGAAAACTAAAATGCCAATTGCTGACATTCATGCCCACTAGAATTCAAAGCAGAAAAACAGCGTTGTTCAAATGAACAAGAGCTTAATACATATTGACAAAAAAAGATGTTCAAGAAATAACAAATAGAAATTCAAAAATGAAAATTATCCACCAACTTTTACATTGTGATATAAGATAGCATTCACCATTTTAAGGTGTACAATTCAATAATTTTTCTAGTATATTTATATTTATATAATATTTCTAGTATATTTACAAGAAAATATACTTGTGAAACCATCCCAATTTTATCTACCCAAAACATTTTCACCACCTTAAAAAAAAATACTCCTTACCTATTAGAGGTCACCCTTTATTCCCCTTTTTGCCCAGACTCTGGTCAGGTGATTCACCCACCTCGGCCTCCCAAAGTGCTAGGATTACAGGCGTGAGCCACTGCTCTCAGGTGACTTAGCATAATATTTTCAAGGGTCATCCATGTTATAGCATGTATCACAACCTCATTCTATTTTATTGCTGAGTAATATTTCATTATATGAACGTATCACATTTGATTTATCTTCATAAATTGATGAATATTTGGATTGTTTCCATTTTTCACTATTATGAATAATTCTGCTATAAACACTCATGTTCAAGTTTTTGTGTGAACATGTTTTCATCTCTCTTTGTGTAATTGCTGTGTCATATAGAAATTTCATATTTACCATTTTGAGGAACTGCCATACTATTTTACACAGTGGCTGCATCATTTTCCATTCTTACCAGCAATGTATGAGGGTTGCATTTTATCCACATCTTTGTCAAGATTTAAAAAAAATTATTTTTAACTGACACATAATTGTACATATTTATGGGGTACATAATGATGCTTCAATACATGCAATGTACAGTAAATAGATGAATGTAATTAGCATATTCATCATCTTAAATATATATCTTTGTGCTGGGAACATTTAATATCTTCCTTCTAGCTATTTGAAACTACATATTATTAACTATATTCATCCTACAATGCTGTAAAACACTAGAACTTATTACTCCTATGTAGCTGTAATTTTGTACCTTTAAACAAAGCTCAACCTATTGTTTTCCTCTTATCAACACTTGTTATTTCATTTTCAAAAAATGGTAGTCATCCTGCTGTGTATGAAGTGATACCTCAGTGTGATTTAGATTTGCATTTCCCAGATGACTAATTATGTTTGGTATCTTTCCATGTGCTTTTTGGATACTTTTTTTTGTTTGTTTTTGGAGAAATGTCTGTTTGGATCCTTTCCTATTTTAATTGGGTTATTTTCATTTTTATGGTTGAGTTCTAAGAGTTCTTTATATATTCTGGATACAAGTCCCTTACCAGGTGTATAATATGCAAATATTTTCTCTGATTCTTGGGTTGTCTTTTCACTTTATTGATAGTGTCTTTGATTTTAAATTTTGAATAAATCCACTTTATCTAATTTTGTGTGTGTAGGTGTGTTTTGTTATATGTCAGAAACCATTGCCTAATTCAAGGTCACAAAGATTCACTCTTTTGTTTCCTTCTAAGATTTTTATAGTTTTAGTTCTAACTTTTAGGCCTTTGACTATTTTGGTTTATTTTTTGTATACGGTATAAAATAGGGGTACAAATTCATTGTTTGTGAGTGGATATCCAGTTGTGCCTGCACCAGTTGCGAAAAGACTAATCTTTCTTTATCCACTGGCTTTTTTTTTTTTTTTTTTTTTTTTTTTTTGGCACTCTGGTTGAAAATCAATTGACCATAAAGGTAAGGATTTTGGTTTATTTTGGACTCTCATTTTATTACATTGATATATATGTCTGTTCCTAGATCTGTATCACTCAATATGGATTGATTACTGTAGCTTTGTAGTAAGACTGCAGTAACTTTGTAGTGGGTCCTCCAACTTTATTCTTTTTCAAAATTATTTTTTATTCTGCATTCATTCTATTTTCTTTTCAATGGTAGGGCTAACCTCTAAATTGCTACAAAGAAGCCAGCTGGGATTTTGATATGGATTGCATTTGCATTGAATCTTTAAATAAATTTGGAAAGTACTGCCATTTTAACAACATTAAGTCTTCCAATCCAGGGACCTGGGATGCCATTCTATTTATTTAGGTCTTCCTTAAATTATTTCTATAATATACTGCAGATTTCAAAGTAAACATTTTAGATTTTTTTTTGGTTAAATTTGCTCCTATGTTATTTTTATTCTATTGTATGTGGAATTGTTTTTTTAATTTTATTTTCTTATTGTTCATTACAGGTATATGGTAATACAATTGGGTTTTGTATATTAATTTTGTATTCTCAGACAATACAGAACTTATTTATTAATTTTAATAGATTTTTGTGTTGTTTACATAGGATTTTATATATACAACATCATGTCATGTGATCTGAACACTATATTGTTAAAAAATTAATTTCATCATCACTGTCAATTAATATAAATACTTTGTGAGCCTGCTCATTTTTGGAAGCACATCTAAATAGTTTTTTTTAACAAATTAACTGAAAGTTTCCATTTCTCTCCCCACTCTTCCCAGCTCACATCTATCCTGAAAGACTCCCAGCACTCACTTCTGAGACTGCTCAAGGTTCATCCCAGACTTGGTGGAGACAGTATGCATCGTTTCTTGCTGCTCCTGGGAGAGGGTAGGCAAGGAGCTGGAGAAGGGTACAGGCAATGGGATGGAGAAGGCACTCTGGGTCTCTTTCATGCTGGCATTCCTCAGTATCAGCTCGTCATTCACAACATACAGACTGAAGAAAAGATAAGCCCTCAGACAACTGGAAAAATGGATAACCCCACACTTTCAACAATGATCCTGCTTCCATTACCACTGAGGAACCATATTCCTTCCAAGCACCTACTCTGCCCACTTTTCAGATTCCTTGGCTGGTAGGCTTTGTCCCTGCTGCAGAGTCTACCTTTGGAAAGGTTGTCTACCAGTTTTTCTAGATTTGTAGATTTAACCCCACTGCATATAGTTTACAAAATAAGTAGACATCCCATTTTAAGAAAAGGACTGAATCACAGAGAAATCTTATGACTGTATGGAAATACACACAACTAATTAGAAAGTATTGTGACCAAAAAGAAAATCTGGTATTCTCTTAATCTAGATCTCTCTTTGGATCTATCAGTTGGCTTTACAGGGTACTGAGAACTCCCCGGGGACTGCACCACCACATTCCCACACCACTGATTCTAGGACAGGATGGGTACTCCCACCCACAACACAGCACTTACTTGGAATTGCTGACAGAAGTCAAGATGAAGGTTCGGGTGAAGGCAAGAACAGAACCTGGAGACTCCGTTTCCACTTTAACAACAACAAACAATGATACCTCCATTGTACATGCTTTACACATTCACACAGAGTTCTCCAGTCAGGGAGATAATCTCATGGTACCCTGAAGGGAGCCAGGCTGGGACAACTTTTCAGTGAAGATCAGGAGCGGGTTTCAGGGATTTAGAGGGCAACAATAGGAACAATTGGCTCCCAGGGATAGAACCCCCTAACATGTGTCAGGTCTCTTGACAAACATAAGTTCACTTGATTCATTTTACACATTTGCCCAAGAGATGACCTTATGAACCCATTTTGCAAATGAGGAAACTGAGTGATTAGGTAACAGGACAATGTCCAAACTTCGCAAAGTAAGAACCTGGGATGAGAGCCATTAAACTCTACAGTCTGTGTCCCTAACAGCTGAGCTGTCCAGGTGCAGACAGGCATGGATGTAGATCAGGAAGTAACGACGTTTGGGAACAAAACTGGGAGAGAGGAAGAACACAAAGGGAAGGGAACAAAAAGGAAAGAACACAAAGATAACAGAAAGTTGGGAGGAGAGGAAGACCACAAATGGAGAGGAAGAATGCAAGGGGAGGGGAGAGGAGCAACCTGGGAAGCTGAGAGAGTTCTTGGAGTAAGCCCAGCCTGGGGATGGGAGTAATGAGTGATCTGGAGAGGAGAATCTATAGACACTCACCTTCCTTAAATACTCCATTGACAGAAAAGAAGAGCATCCTATCCTGAAAGGGAAGAAGAAAAACTAGAGCCTTCATGATTGATCCTCCTACCTACCTCCTTACTTCCTACCTACTTCAGCTCTCTGGGCCTGACTGAGGGAGTAAGCAGGTGCTCACCGTCTGGATGCACAAGTCTACCACATAGGAGTTAAGGTCGTGTTGAGTTCTGGGCAATGCACTCAGGAAGTCCACAATCTCATGTTTTGTGTGCTTCAGCAGCTGAACCCTCAGGCCTGTGTGAGAAAGAGAAGCAATGGGGGTTGCCACATCCTGCCCCCTGTACCCTATTATTGACTCCCCACCCCATTTCCCGTGCTGATCTTCCCCCACCACACACTCACGAGAGTCCTTGATATTCTTTATATTCCTGCTGTCCTTTAAGTACTTTTCCAAGTTGCTTCTAGGAGAAAAAGAGGAACAGGAGTGGGTGGTACTGCCAATGCAGACATTTCCAGGAACTGCCCTTTGCAGGGAAGCCACATAGCCCCAGACCAGAGTCAGAGCTGAGTTACTCACAGGGCTGGGTCCTCAGGGTTGAGGGGAATGGTCAGGGAGAAGCAGGCCTTGTTATGGTAAACACTGAGGAGACCCTTTCTGTCTTCAGAGTCATAGATCAAGTAATACCTGTGAAAGAGAAGTGGGGATAGGCTATTTCTGTGGCCAGGGACCCAAATGAGACTTGAAGACCCCCTAAACCCATGAATAGACATTTGCTTGGGGGACCTGTCTTGTGTTAACCTTCCACTGCCTCATGATTTTGGGGTACTTACTGAAGCAGAAACTGAAGTACCAGATTCTTTATGATCTCAGATCCTTTATAGCTTTCCTGGAATCAAAAGACTCCTTGAAGCTATGTGGTTTAAAAAACATCCCTTACAATATCTCAAATCTTGATGATCCCTTCTTACCTTACAAGGTTTTATTATCTCAGGGGTTTCAACGCCCATTATAATTGGAGATGTTAAAACCTGGCCATCCTGAGAAAGGAAAGAGGTAGTCAGCAGTGCATACTAGGAAGGTAGAGCTGTATGAGTAAGGAGATGAACAACCCCAGAGGGAACAACGATCAGAGGTGAGGTGTGAAATGGCCTCCTCAAAATTCTATCAGCAGGACAACAGCTGGAGTCTTCAACAGTGGATCTTGGAAGCCTCTATTATTAGATGCAATTTTTGTGTGAATTAATGAGTGTGAGTGTGTGAGTGTGTGTGTGTGTGTGTGTGTGTGTGTGTGTGTGTTTATGGACATTTTATTCCAGGGAGAATATTCTTGTTTTTTTTTTTTTTTTCTTTTGTTTGTTTGTTTTCAGGAATCTTTGTCTCTAAAATGGATGAGGGTCTGATACAAACATGTAATCTAGGCAAGACCCAAAGGACTTGAGGGCAGGCATAGAGGTCGTGTACTTGAGTAAGAAGAGACATTGATGATGGTAAATACTTACCAGGCGTAACAACTCTGGGAAACATTCCAGGATGGTACTGTGCATAACCAAAAATAGAAGGAAGTGACTGACAGTTTAGGGTTGCAGAGCCTGTTTCCTCCCTCTCTTCCCCCTCTCCCTCTCATTTCTCATGGTTAGCTTCCACCTAGACTGCCCTGACTCTCCTTTCTCCAGTGCCACAAGCAGCAGCATTGGGAGCTCCAGAGCTTTCTTCCCCTATCTCCCTTCCTCCCTCCCTCCCTCCCTCCCTCCCTCACCTTTGCCCAAATCCCCAGGGAAGTCTCCGCAGGGAGCAGGAAATGGGGTGGGAGCTCAGTGCTCCGTTACCTCATTGGCTGTCCGTCAACCTGCCTGACCAGGCCCTGGCCAAGAGCAAGTCAGCCCTTAGGGATGGCCCAGGATGCTGGGACAGGGAGGTGAGTGAGGTGGGGCTCAGGAGGCAAGAAGGGGAAGGCAGGGGGGTTGACAACAGAAACGGAGTGAAAGTAGGGGTGGGAGAGATGGGGGAGACATAGGAGATGAGAGACAAAGGAGAAGCAGGATGCAAAGCAAAGGGAAGGGAAAGATGCTCTACTGTGGGGGTGGACTTCAGGGAGGAAGAGAGGAGAAAAGGGCTCCCCTGCTGCAGCCCTTTCCCTCACCGCCCCCTGGCTGGCCCTGGGGACTGAGACAGGAAAGGAAAACTTGTACCTGTTGGGCTGGGGCCTGCTGGATGCAGCTGGAGCCTTTCTCACCTGTGTGAGCTCAGTCTGAGCTGGGCATGGGAAACAGCAGCCATGGGGACAGGAGACCTTCTCCCAGCAGGAGTAAAGGGTCAGGCCGCAGCTCAGAATGGGATTCAGAGTCTGGGGACCTCCTCTCCCGGCCACTGCATTCTCTTCTGATGGTCCCTGGTGCCTGCGCCCCAGTGTGCTGACACATGACCGAAGAAGGCTAGCTGTCTTTGATTACCCAGGGCTCCTCTGAGGCCCCAGGCAGGACGATGTGAGGTGTGGACGGAAGGAGGTGCACTGCCCAGAGAGGCTTGTCTTTCGGTCTCCTCAACCTCCTCTGCCCACTGCCTCAAGAAGGTGTCCCACTTATGGTCCCCTGACTCAGGTTTCTCCCCAAGGAGGGCCCAGGTCCTGGCATTGGGCCAGAAGAAGAGATGGCATGATAGCAGCCACCCAGGGCCTCAGCCCTCAGCATGGAGCAGGGAAGCCCCCATGCCAGCGCAGGACAGGTGTGGGAACCTTTCTGGAGCAAGACAAGGAGAATTCCCCTTGGGACTTGGGAGGGAAACTCTGTCTCAGCATGGAGGCAGGAAGACCTGCCTCAGCATGAAGACCTGGGTTGGGAGACTCTTCTTGGTCCAAGGCACCAGCATCAGAATATTGCTGGTCCTGTGAAGGTGGGGGAGCCCTGCTCCCTGGAGCACACTCACAGAAGGCGCACTGGAGGAGGCTGGGTGAAGACAAGTGGGAAACACCACAGAGCAGGTGAAAGGGGGAGCATGCCAGAGGAAGGAAAGGAGACTGCTAAGCACAAATGAGTGAGTGACGCCGAGAGAGGAGTGAGTGAGTGTGTGTGTGTGTGTGTGTGTGTGTGTGTGTGTGTGTGTAGGAGGGGAGGAGGTCTGTGGTCCTCCCAGAGGACCAAGGCTGCCTCTTCCTGCACAGGGGCACTTTCAGATACAGCTCAGTCATCCAGGGAGCAAAGGTGCCCAGGAAGGGCGACAGGGGTTGCCACTGACCTTACATAGGCGGACTCGTCAGAGAAGATGCTGCACAAGGGGTTCCCTTCTAACCACAGCTCTTCGAGCTTCAGCCCTTTCACCTTGCCCAACTCCCACACCGACTTCAGCTAAGAAAGATGGGGAGGAAACTGGAGAAGGAGGGCCAGGGAAAGACAGACACTCGGGACCCTGGGCCCCAGGTTCCCCCAGCCCTCACAGTCACCTACGGACACCAGACACCTCTGCCTGCCCGTTGCCAACATCCTGATGTGTACCGCCATCCATCCTCCACCCAAAGTTGACCTGGCTCTCCCTTCTCACCTCATTTTTGGAGAGGTTCAGGATCTTGACATTGGGGGCCTTCTCTGTAATGTCAGACAGGCCATCCAGCTGGTACAGTTTGTTGTTGCACAAGTTCAAAGACAGTAGCTGTCGGGTAAGAACAGTTAGAGTGATGGATAGTATCTTGAGCCTTGGAATCAAATCTGCCTTTAACCCCATCTCTTCCACCCCTCTAATTAAATAGTAGCACTCGACCTAAGGCCTCACCTCAGGAAAATTTGTCGAAATGATCTTCAGAGTGGCAGCCATGTCGTTTCTTCGATTCAGGCTTATATCAAAATGATGTTTCACCAAGTCTTCAGGAAACCAAGAGAAGGGAATCAGAAGGCTGGGAGGGCCCAGCTAGATCAGCACCAGCATCAACCCCTCCCAAAGTTGCCATCCATATAAGTCTCCTTCCCAGGCAGACTGCTCTGCCCCTACTTGCCTTAGAATTGTTGCTGTCAGCCATACCTGGGTCAAAGCAGAGACTCTGGAGATCAAGAGCTTGCTGGGAGACATCATATCGTTTGTTCATGGTCAGCTATAGAGACAGAGATGAAGAGAGAAGCTCTGAGGCTCTGGTGGTGGTGATAGGGAAATATAGGGGTGGGGGCAGAAGAGGTGCCTTGAATCTGTATTACCTTTAGCTGTGTCATCGCTTTTCGTTTCATCTTTTTCTGCATAGACTGAGGGTCAGTAGAAAGATTGACAAAAACAAATACCTGCAAGAAGGTGAGGCGAGGTGAGCACCAGGACCTCTAATCTCAAAAAGACAAAGACTAGTCCATGGCCTGTCCTCCTGTCCAGAGATTACATATCAGGAATATTGTTGACATATACCTTTTGGTTTTCCTCATCATGAATCTTGCAGTTGACTTTCTTTAATGCACAGGCAGCATGAACATTCTGGACAAAGAAGTGGGCCTGATTTTTGTCGTAGTGGAACTACAGGGAGTGGAGGCAAGAGTAATAGTGCCAGAGGCCAGTGGTCCCTTCTGAGTCAGGCCTCTCCCCCTCCCCTGTGCCCACTCATCTGGCTTTACCATATTCCCTTACATTGACTGGAGTGAAGGAGACATTGCAATGACTCTGGATTGAATTCAATATCCATGTCTTATCATACTTTATCCCATAAGGAATCTAATGGTGAAAAGAAGAAATGGGATAGAAGAGAGACAACATGGAATTAAGCCTGGAAAGTAGACCCAATTAAGTGTTTTATTCTAACCTTCTAGTGGAGCTTCGAAAGACTTCTAAGATAGGGACCGTTAACATAATTTCAACTTTTAATTTTTTTGTCAGACATGGAATTCCTAGTTGTTGTCTTTACTCTTTATTCCAAATTTACCCCCAAGATAATAAATTTCAGATGTTCTAAATAATCTTTTTTTAAGGTGCTAGAAGATTCTACCTATTGAAGACAGCCTGCACCTCTGACAAGAACTCCAGAAACTCAACACCGCTACACTCAGCTTGAGTCATGAGGCATCTGGTGGAGAGCTGCTCCATCTTCTTGGCAGTAGTTTCCACCTTTGCTTTTAGACAATCTCTTGTGCCCTCTTGCAGTCAGCCTGTTCCCTTTACATTGTTTTTCTGAACCTGCCCTTAGACGTTAACTCCCCCTGTCCTCTGAAAAATACCTAGTCTTTCTTTCTCTTTCTTTCTTTCTTTGTCTTTCTTTCTTTCTCTTTCTTCTTTCTTTCTTTCTTTCTTTCTTTCTTTCCTTTCTTTCTTTCTTCTTTCTTTCTTTCATCTCTCTTTCTTTCTCTCTTTCCCTACCTCCCTCCCTCCCTATTTCCTTCCTTCCTTCCCTCCCTCCCTCCTTCCTTCCCTCCCTTTGTCTTTCTGTCTTTCTTTCACAGAGTTTTGTTTTTGTTGCCCAGGCTGGAGTGCACTGACGCAATCTCTGCTCACTGAAACCTCCGCCTCCAAGATTCAAGCGATTCTCCTGTCTCAGCCTCCTGAGTAGCTGGGATTACAGACATGTGCCACCACACCTGGCTAATTTTTGTATTTTTAGTAGACAGGATTTTACCATGTTGGTCAGGCTGGTGTCGAATTCCTGTCCTCCAGTAATCTGCCTGCCTCGGCCTCCCAAAGTGTTGGGATTACAGGCATGAGCCACAGTGCCCTGCCATTATCTAATATTTTTACATGTGATTAACACAACTCTCCCTGACCCGCCTTTCCTGCATATTTTTTGGCATTTTCTCAGGACACTCACTGTGACCTTGAACCAGGTCCCCGGGTCTCCATTCTGTGTGTTCTTCTCCACTTCCTTCTCTGGAGAAATTATATCTTGGAATTCACTATGGCATTTCACAGTCCTACTATTGGGTTGTAAGGTACAGGGGTTGCTGTAGGGAAATTGATAAAAATATATGTCTATAAATGTATAGAAATGCATAGAAGTGTGACACAGTTTTTCATACACCCTCAACTCACTGAAAACCAGGTCTGCAATTAGGATTTCTCAGCCATTACTTCACTTCTAGCATTCTTCAGTTTTTCAATGAAAGGAAAAAAAAAAAGAAGACTACAGAGAGTGAAAGAAACACGAAGTTCCAGGGGCTGCTATGTGCAAACCAGCCTGCCTGATCACTTACTTTCTTATTTGGGGGTCCTCGTGGACATCCCTCACCTCCACATTTTCATTATCCTCCTGAAGGTGGGGAGGTGGGAGCTCATATCCATCGTGTTCATCATGAAGGTTCTCCTTTCCAAAATTATCCTGGGAAGAATCTCCACCTTTATTTTCTCCTTGAGGAGAGCTGTTACCATTACTGTGTTCTGAAATTTGGAACAAAAATACGAGTTTGAAGACACATCAGTGGTCACATACCATTTACCATTTCTTGGCCTAACACCATAGTAGGGCAAGCAAAGTGCCAGCTTGCCCTAATAGAGCAGTAACATAACCCCCAGAAAGCAAACTCCTCTACCTGTCCAGATAGGAGGACCTTTTCTTACAGATGACATAATTAGGGAAGAAATCTTAAAGGAGGAGGTAACTGTGTGGAACCATTTGGAAAACAAAGCAGCATTTATAAAGAACAGAAGTGTGAATGTTCATGGATTAGACAGGAGATCAGCCACACCCCAGGAAGGATCCAAATCTTGCCTTCCCTTGTGCCGCTGTAGTGTAACAATCTCACCAAAACATGATTGGCAACCTCTCTCACACCTCCCAAATGCAATCAGCCACGAAATTGATTTTATTAATAATCAGCAAGCTGTACTGTCTCTTCTAATGCAAACTTTCATGACAGGGTAGATTGATGTATCATCCTACTAAACTGTTTCTTTGCCTCCAGCCTTGCCTTCAACAATACTCTTTTTGAAATACACAGAGTGAGCTGTCTTTTTGCTGACCCTGAAATGCCTTTCAGCTCAGAAGACAATGCTTCTAACTTCTACTCTTCTATAACAAGGAGCTGAACAATGATCAGAAATGATAGGTGTCAACTACAATTTCCAAGTGTTTAGAGATTTTTCTGTGGTCAGAGAGAATAATCTGTATGACTTTCATTCTTTTAAATTTACTGAGGTTTGTTTGATGGCCCAGGACATGGTCTGTCTCTGTGAACATAGTCTATCATGAATGTTGTCAGATATGTGGGAAAAAGTATACTCTGCTGTTGTTGGGGATGTTGAAGGCCCCAGTGATAATTGTGGACTTGGCTATTTCAGCTCCATCAGTTTTTGCTTCATGTATTTTCAGCCTCTGCTGTTTGGGTGTGTACACAGTTAGGATCATTCCGTCTTCCTGGTGGATTGATCCTTTTATCATTATGTAATATCATTTTTGTTTCTACAGATTTTCTTTGCCAGCAAGTCTACTTTATCAAATATTGTGGACTCAGGTATGCTTATTATGTGCGTTGGTTATATTTCAATGTATTTACTACTAGGAATTTCCTTGTTCACCCTCCATATTCCCCATCAACATGTTCAATTAACCATGTGGCAAGATTTGGAAGTTTAATTTACAGCTACGAAAATAAGATAGTATCAATTCTCTTGCCCATAACCATATTGATGAAGGATATTTTATCTTTATCACATTCAACAGCAACAATAGTAATACTAGTGGTTTTGAAGGTGGGGATTAAGGATATTAGACTATTTGAAGCCAGCTTCCTTTTAGCATCTAAATGTAATGTTCTCTAGGTTGGTATTTAATTTAATTAATATGTATCGTATTGAGACACGGTCTTACTCTGTCACCTAGGCTGAAGTGCAGAGGTATGATCTTGGTTCACTGCAACTTCCACCCCTCAGGCTCCAGTAAATCCTCCCACTCCAGCCTCCCAAGTAGCTGGGACTATAGGTGCACACCACCATGCTAGGCTATTTTTTAAAAAAAATTTGGTAGACATGGGGTCTCAACATGTTGCCCAGGCTGATTTCGAACTCCTAAACTCAAGAAATCCTCCTGTCTCGGTCTCCCAAACTTCTGGGATTATAGGCATGAGCCACCATGCTCATCCATAGGTTTGCATTTTATACATATTACATATTAATTACTCCATGTTATCTCAGGACGTATTTGTGAGTAAACATTCTGTTCACTCCTGATCCATTTACAATATAATTGTTATGACCAGGCCTCAGATGAACTCCTCTGGAAAGTCATTGCTTTCACTGTGTGACCCATGGTTAGGATAGTTTTGTTACTCACAACCTTTGGGACTTTTCTTGTAAGGCATTGGAAGTGAAATTAAATACAGGTAGAGCATTTGATCCAGAAATGTTCAGTCCCTAAAATTTGGTGATAGCTTGGAATGCTCTCTTTTTCTCATAATTCACATTCAACGGATCAAGAAAGTCTCTTGACTCTACCTTTACAATATATCCAGAGTCTGGGCCCTTTTCATTCCCTCCATTGCTACTACCCTGGCAAGGTCACCAACATCTATCTCCTGGATTATATTGCCTTCCAACTTGTCCCTCTGCTTTTACACTTGCTTCCTCGTCATACATTTTCATCATAGTGGGAGAGTGATTTCTTTAAAGCAGAAGTCAAACCCTCTCATTCCTCTGCTCAAAAATCTTTTAACAAACTTCAATCGTATTGTAAAAATATCTGTAACCTGCTCTTTTCAGTTAACATTTTATATCATTGCATGTTCAGAAATAATATTTAATTGATTTTTATTATTTATCAAATTAATATGCTTTCCTTTACAGACATTGTGGAAATTAAAGCTAAGGTCACCTGTTTAGCAGAGCAAGAACTGATGGTTGAATCTCATTGAGCTGGAAGCTCAGGGAAGAATAAATATGATTAGTCCAAAATTTATATTTTTCATATTTTTTAAAATGTCTAAATAACAATTTCTGACTTTAATATAATTTATACATTAGATTATTATTTTAGTTAAAATATGTTACAAATTTTAATCTACTAATAAGATTTTAAATTTTAATAAATCCCTCCAAGTTTTTGCTACTATAAACAATGCTACTAAGAATAGGATTATATATATCTTCTATTATTTGTTTACAGTTTTTCCTGCAAT